CCTCTGTCGGTTTTCGTACTTTTGGAGGGGTGCAAAAACTTTGCATTAGGGAAGAAGAAAGAGATGCTTCCGGGATTCCTGCTTTGCCTTTGGGGACAGGGCGGTCGTGAGAGTTCGCAAAGTTATTGTGACCGGGGAAAAGGGATGGGAAGGGGACGCGTGGGAGAAAGCAAAGGCAAGGTGGCCCGTTTTGGGAGTGTGCAAAGGGCATCGCAGAGCTTTCCCCAACCTATGCTCTCCAGATGTGTTGGGTTGCATCAGCCGCCTCGCCTGGCTGCTTAGCGGTGATGATGGGGTTTGTAGTCCGATGCATTCGGCAGGTGGCAAGTTGGAGAGGAGGTTAACGTAGGCTAGGCAGCGTTTCAGAATTACGGAGGGAGAGACAGGACTAAGAATTACGAAGTTACCTAAATTCATCCTTTGACCCCAAATGGACTGTTCACCCTCACTGAGTCCTGCAAAAATAATAATAATAATAAAAAATGCAGTGATCTGCTTCATTTCTGGGTTGCTCCTTGTCCTTCATGCAATCTGTTATTCCTATTTTAGGTGGTACCCAGCACGCAGCTTTTGTGTCACAAGCTGCTTGCTCTGGAAAATGCTGTCTTTAAAACAAGAAACAGCGAAGTTCCTGAAGTCGCAAGAGATGATTAGCTATTTAATTTGTTCATGTTGTTACTTTTTTAGTGCCTGGGATGGGGAAAAATGCTTGCCACGTGTGATAACTTGATGGCCTTTAGATACTGAGCATCCAGGCTGGGACGAAGATATGTATTGGCTTGGGCAGTAAAATGCCTTATTCCATGGAAAATGAGGAATGACAAAAAAGGAGACATAAACTACTCCAGGTCTTTGATTAATTAAATTAATTAATTAATTTTAATTAATTTAGCCTTGCAGCCTGCGTATCTTGTGTAGTTGAAACAACTGAGCCTCTAACACCCGAATCCTGCATATGTCCCCACAGATGTAAATAAGCATATGGAGGACTGAGATTTAGATGGTATGGTAACTTTTTCCGTGGTGAGCTGGCTGGGATAATGGAATATGACTTCAGTCCACTGACCACAATTCCTGAGAGCTGCATTAAGGTGAGACACATGGCTTCCGTTTCATGAAATTGACCGAAAGACCATTCAATAACTCAGCAGATTGATGGACCAGCTCTCAGAGTTCTTCAGCTAGTATGGATGGTGCTGAGAATTCTGGGAGTTGAAGTCCACACACTGGGGAAGACTGGAGCGATGCTATTTAGCTGGCAGACTTCATGTCAGGAAATGGACCATTTCTGAATGCAGCATTGAAGTCTACTTAGAGTCGGCAACGTACATTAAGACAGGAATGGATAAGGGATAGATTGGGATCTATTGCAGAAGGATTTCTGACTTCCAGTTAGTACAGCATTTCATGCAGGGTTACTGTTTTTCAGTAGCTCCATAAATGAGATTTCTATTCCTGTTTTTCTTTTTCTTTTTAAAATTTACTGAGAATCCAATTGAGGAACGTAAATGGGAGATGCTCAAATCCTACTTGAAAGGTTCCTTGAAAAATCTGGTTCCCTGAAAAATTCCCACCTGAGCGCTGTGGGAATGGATAATGGATTAGATAGTTCTTTTGCATCATCTCACTTCCAGAATTGCTGCAAAGGGCGTCTTCAGTCTGGGGTTTGCATTATTTCAGTAACTGCATCCAGTCCTTAATGACTAAGTGTCAGTTTGGGTGTCAGTAGATTTGCGTAATAGATTTGCTTTTTGTAAACTTTGCATCACATCAGTCTATAGGTCAGAGTTTGCTGTGAGAAAATCCAATCTCTGCCCCCATCAAAGGTTGTGCCAGGCTGCAGGTATGGTACGGAGCACGCAGCTTGGAATTTTAGATTTTGAAAGAGTAAATGGCTTTAAACCTAAGGATACCCACCGATATAAATAAAATCTTGATTAGTGAATCATCTTGCTTTCTACTGATTATCATGAGACTATTTTAATTTGATGCACAGCTTCATAGGTTGCGCCAGAATTCCACTGGTTAGATATCCAGCCATATAACTTGGTTAAGGCTCTGGGCTAGAAAGCAGGAGATTGTGAGTTTTAGTCCCATCTTAGGCATGAAAGCCAGCTGGGTGATCTTGGGCCAGTCACTCTCAGCCCCCGACGTCAGGCTCAGGCAACAAGCTGGTAGGTCAATTCCTGTCACAACCAATGGATCAACATTCGGGTGATCTGAAAAAGAGGACCCTGCACACGTGGGAAAAACGCTAGGAAGAAATATATATGTATTCATAAATGTATATGTATGTATGTATGTATATTCTATGTATATAAATGGAGCAGGTTGGTCAAGCGTGCTATCTTTCTTGTAGAGTTCAGTGACCTTTGAAGATGTGGCTGTGTATTTCACAGAGGACCAGGGGGCTCTGCTGGATCCAAACCAGAGAGCTTTGTATGAAGATGTCATGGTGGAGAATTACGGGATCGTGGCCTCGTTGGGTAAGGGGTGAGATGAAGGATGATATGTACCCTCTGTGGCCGGTTAGACTCAGAAATAGTGACACTATAGAACACTTTCTGTCCCATGCAGAATGAGAGCTCCGACAAGGGAATTCTTCATTATGCTTCTAAGATGTTCAAGAAGGTTTGAACCAGTATAGTTACAGTGACCCTCTGTCCTTTATTACAAAGGACAGTCCTTTATTTCAGAAAGCTGTCCTTTAAATTTATTGTTCAAAAGCTCACTTGTGTCCTTAATTTCGGTTATTTAATCTTTACGGTACAAATGGTACCGCTTCATGTACAGTCTCTCACATTCATGGGAAAAACATGGGAATTGAATTGTCTTTTTAAAACGTACAGTTAGATTTTAGATATTTTTATTAGAAGATGCATTCTTGTAAAGTTTTTCATGTATTGGCTT